TGTAATGCCAATAGGGCTGGGGAGAAGGAGGGAGGTAGAGGTAACGGACCGAGTTTTATTGGCCTATGCAATATGTACCCGGCAAATTGATGGCTCTGGTTTTAATAGATTGTGATATTTGTTTGATCTTTCTGACAAACAACATACACCAATGCCTTTTGATGCATCAATCATGTTATTTATGGTAATGGTGTTCCATCGAAATTTATATTATCTTTCAATTATTGTAATTATCCCCATTCAGTATGGTGTGTATAGATGATCGTTTATTACTGGTGAATCCCGGAGGACCAGATGAATTTGTCACGTCTGAATATAATGGAATGTCCATCAGCAATACTAAATCTGCAGCAGGAATAATGTTGATATTTTCTTCACCACTATATTCATTTTATTTTCATGGAATTCATCCTGTGCGAGTTGACACTACTAAAAATCCGCTAGATTACGTTGGACTAGCGGGCGTTTTTCATAAAAAAGAAAGTTTTGAAAAAAGGGGAACACTATAGAAGACCACCTTACATTAGATTTATGATTTTATATACTGATCCGATGCATTTTGACCAGTTATTAACGAGAAAAATGATGCAAACGGTCGGTGACAAAAAAACTGGAATTAATACGGTTGTGGTGATATGTGAATAGGTCGTAGTCTGTGAGCCAGGTTACACATTTTAAATTCCTACCTCTATTAGTTACCCACTTTTTTAGGTAGGTGATCATGGAAATAGAGCAAGAGCAAATCATTTATTGTAATATGACAATTTAACAGCTGATAAAATGGGACATATGATTCTCATCAGTCGTATTATTTGCTTTTTGCAGTAACAATGATTATAAACAATCGATTAAAAGAAGGAATATCAAATCTGACAGGAATAGGGGCATAATGTTAAATAGGGGCACTGTTAAATTTTTTCGAAATTTCATGGAAGATATGGTAGTAATTCTCATGTTAGTGCCATTGAATTCAAGTTAGGGGAAAAATGGTTATAAAATTGCAAGTTCTAGGAAGATTTCCAGAAAATTCGTCAGTTTTCAGTAAGAGTGAGACGGAAATTTCACAATTTGATTAAAATTTCAATGGAACATGAATATTCAGAAACAAAATAACATGAATTTTCAATTTTTCCGATTTTCCGAATTTTCACAGAATAATTGAACTGAAAAATAAAGTATTTCATAGATTTTCAGATCATTTGAACTGAAAATCAATGGAATATTTGATTCTTTAATGACAAGATTTCTTGAAATTTCCGTGGAAATTAAATGATAAATATTTCCGGGATTTTAAGAATTTTAACGGTGTGAAAGGGCATCAAAACTTGGGTGCGCTAGTATCTATAAAATTTCGTAGAAAACAATTCCCCAGCGCCCGGGAAATCATCAGTGTGAAACTGGTGAGTCCGAATACTGCACTATGAGTATTCAAAATCAGAATATAGGAAATAATAGTAAAATTTCCTGAAATGAGCATTCCGTAATACGATTAAGTCAGTTATCACGTAATTTTTCCAGGAGATTTTTCTCTCTGCATCAGTCCAATGTAACAGACAAATCATTAATTCCACCCCAACGTCAACGCTCGATTGACTCCTTGGGTATCTTTCGAAAAGACAGTATTGATCACACTCACTTGAATTGTAAAATTGAAACAACACTTATACTAATGTCTTCATCTTAAATACCATTGAATACGGAATTTCTATAGTTGACAATATTACCTTGTAGTTGACGAATAGACACCAATAGACAGCAGTTCATCTTAACTAAACGACTCATACACGGATCGACAATAAGATAATAACGAGACAAACATAACAACTACCATGGTGATGAGAGAGACAAAACGTCAATTGTCCCGATACTCTATTGTCTCATTCTGTATATATTATAAGGTACTCTTATAGAGACTACAGTAATGATCAATCGCTTATACTATTTTAGTTAATAATTAATTATTGAAGAGTCGATACGCAAGAAGTTATATTGCGTTTTAAGTTACCAACAATTATATTGTAAAACAAAACTCATCTAATTGAGTGAAATTGTCAAGGCAGTGCTGAGCACGTCAGCCACTATAAGTCATATTGTGCAACTTGTACAACGTTGCCTGAACTGATTCATATTACAATCATTTTGTTAAATATAAAAATCAGGCTATATAATAGAATATCTGCAAATTTCTTAATTATTTATGTGATCTCCTAATTCCTTGTGTTGTCCCAATCGAATCTCATTAATAATGAAATATTACGGAACCGCAGTCAAATTCATTCTAAGTGTCAAATAATTTTGTTAATTTCAAATAAATTAACTGGCACCCGACATTATTTTATTTCGTCAAATCTTGAGCCATAGCAGCCACCGACACAGGCCGCGCTAGCTGTAAGAATTTCTTGTCAAATAAAATTGAATAAATTAACAAATACTACGTAAAAGAAAATTCTGTCTCACGAATAGCATTATTTTTTGGAACTGAATGATAGTTCAAGATGCAAAACAATATGTCGTGTGGTAACTAGCTGAACGTTAGGAACGCCCGATGAATTCAGCAATAATTCCTCACCGAATTTCCGTAAAAAGTACTCAGCAACTTTAACCACAGTAGTTCGTCTACGTATATCTATATATACGCAATTGTGGTCACCCTCTACCGTAGACGTGATGATTACAGTCGATCGAGCAACAAGGACTAAATCGAACGGAGTCTATCCCAATTCGACATCGTCGTTGAGTTTCGAGCATCGCTGCAGCGTGCACAGCAGATGAACCGTTTGTGGACGTTGGAGAAATTGCTTCTCGGGGTTTTGTTGTGCAAGTGTAAGACGGATAAATTCGACCACCATCATCCCCGACCCCTATTCTCAGTGCCTCACACGGGAGGGAATATTTGTTGATCGAGACAACAAACCAATAGTTAATCCTGTATATTCTAAATTGTGTTTTGTTTCTCGTCCCTTCATCATCTTTCCTCTTTCATTAACGGAGATTGTCCGATAGATCTTGTGAGTCTTCATAGTTTATTTTTGAAATGCTTGCCAAGATCTCGCTTTTTTACCTTACCAGAGTGATGAGATAAAGACGAGGAAATATTTTACTGGCATTACGGCGAGATCAAACGCTCCTTTGATAGCTTTGAAGCAACGATCTTAAACTTGAAGCATAAATCAGTGACGTTCCTGCATCTCTGTAAATTTGTATATTGGAATCATTGCACGATGAATTCACAAGCAGTTAGAGTTAAAGAAATTCAATAAAAAAGTTGTTTACGTGATATTAAGGTAAATCATGGGGATGGTTACCTATTGATTATTGAACAGCTAACGATACTTTTTCGACATGAATGAACACAGAAAGATGAATATGCATCGTTCATGTTTGGAAAGCACTCGGAAGTAGTTGAAGCATAAAAATGGGATGGATAAAATTCAATGAATGACAAATATCAGGAGCCAATAATTTCAATATCGAATGCCACAATGATTACAGACTACTTTCAATTTCAATAAATGATATCAGTCATTTGTAAAATCAATGATTCCTACATAACTCAAATCCGTTAAATCTCGCTGAGTCGAAATGTAAAAAACATTAAAACTAAGTACTCATTAAACGTTCAATTTCATTGTATTTCAATTACAGGATTATGAGGAATGATTCAGTACTAATAATTTTTTTAATCGATTGGTAATCAGTCAATTATTATAATCAGCGCTTATCGGATCATCGACTGTCAAATACTAACGTCCTATTCCAATTTTTATATGGAGTTCTATAAATCGACAGAAAGACTCATGAAAGAATCAATAATCATTCAAACAAACCCCTACAAATAATAATATAATTAGGTAGAAAGAAGCGCGATTGAGTCTTTAAAATTTCTTAATTCAAGGTTTGGATCAGGCCTTAGCATTAAGCCTTGTTGCAGCTTTAGAAATTAAGCCTCAATTCTGGTTATCATTTTGAGGCTGAATGAGGGCTGATTCAAGTTTGAACTCCACCCCTGATTAAGAACTGTCGAATCTTTGTTCAGGGCTTGATGAGCCTTGTGTCCATTGTCAATTTCTACTTGGGCATACATCACACACTTGAACAGAGTAGAATACTCTGCAGGACTACCAGCTTGGTTAAATGAAATGGTCACTTCGTGCGTCATTGCCATTTTTTCTATGCATTTTTATACAATTTCGATAATTATAAAGATACTTTTGAAAAGTAATACAATACGCGTAACTGATTCCAAAAAAACCCTCGGATAAATATGTTGAGTTTATCCGAATGAAATCTTTAAAGCTAGTCATCTAACTAACTTGACTAATGCCACGTTTGAAATTCGATTTTTATCCCGGTATTTTCAGTACAGTTAACAAAGTTCAGCTCCACTCTGCCAGAAAGATAGAAATGAAGTTAGGGTATAAAGAGATAGAATCCTCGAATCGTCGGATTTCGCGCGTTGGATTCCCTAGGGAGAGTGCAGAGGGCTCAAACTTTCCTTGGCGAAACATTTCCAACTACTTGCACACGTTGGTCTTTTCAGAGTTACAGTATCTCTATATAGATATATATACTAGCCACAGGAAAACCAGTGGATGCCTGTCTTCCTTTTATTGATTTCATTATTATTTGCCTCAGTTTCTCGTCCCCGAGTTTACGGTAGTCGTGGAGCTGTCGAATGCAGAGCGTGTGGAAAAATATCATTTTAATTCGTATTGAGTTACCTACAACACATTGTTAAGACGTATAATCGATATTACAAGACCAGTGGAAAAAAGGAACTAATGGAATGGAGTAATTTTCATGATTTGCTCCAGTGCTCGCAAATATTCTCACAAACGTTCTTTCTCATTCTATTACAACAAAAGATATGGAAACAATTCTCTATAAACTATGATATTCACCATCCAATAATGTAGAAAAACCCGCATAGATTCGCTGCTCAACAAGTTTCCGATAACATTCTCCCAAATCTAATTTATTCCTTTTCTCTCACATTTCAGTTACGATGCCAGAAAAAATGGTGGACCCGTACACTTTCCCATATCCAACGATTTGGGTAACCGTGCAATATTCGACATCAGCCATTATCACCATGCAAGCCTGAAAATCCGCAAGGTAACTCAGCAGGACCAAGGCTTGTACAGATGTCGTATTGATTTTTTCAACTCACCAACACGTAGTTTTCAAGTGAATCTCACGCTCATCGGTAAGCTCCTCATCTTGACTTATCTCTTTCTTATAATCAGTTGCCTCTAACGATGTTCGATCAAGATATAAAGCTGCCAGATCGATGATCTTTTTTTACGCCTTTTTCACATTATATTCGGCAAATAAAATTTTTTATTATCGAACCAGGGCTAGCAAAGTGGCCTCCCTTGTAATGCCACAGCGATTTATCGCACAAGTCCTCTCTCAAACTAGTGCTGCTCGTAACTTCCCTTTGGCCCGCCGGGCAGCATTTCCGCTTTGCGCTCCCAACGCTCAGCACAAAACTCTTTTTTTTCACTCTTTTATCAAACTTTTTTTCGCTTCCTCTCTCTTTGAAACGTCGCTTTTAATGACGGAACTTTTCCGTTCGCTTCAACATGCATGAGTGCAGATAACTAAAGTTAATACCGCGGTATTTGCCAATGATTTAACTAATCGTTTACTATGAGACGTTGTATTTTAGTTTCGTTGTCACTTGTGGGTGCTGAAGGACTACTCGAAGAAGTGCTTCATGGGGAAAAATAATTAATGTTCTGGGTGGTTATCTTCCAGAGCATCCTTCGAGGCCGGTTATTTACGATGCTCAGGGCAGAGAGGTTCAGGGCGTCTCACGTTTCTTCGAGGGATATGATTTGAGACTCACCTGTCAAGTGTCAGGAGGTAAGAATATCAGATGTAAATCTTAATCTCAGAGAGAAAAAGCGTTTCCAGTTTCAAATGAAAACCTCTCATCTTGAGAACTATGTCGTGTTGAAATTTTCACTTTCACAAATATTTTAATCGCATCGCACTTTTGTTAATTTTCTTTATAGCATTGCATCAAAGCCTCAGAAATTTTTTGAAAAATTTGAAGAGTCTAATCTGTCTGGGAATTTCATAAGCTGAAAACAAATTTCTTACATTTTTTGATTAAATGATCAGTTTACCCAATCAGTGTACAATTATTATTTTTCTTTTCTGTCATCATTTTTATCACTTTTACTTTAGAAAATTGTAGAGACGTTGATACCTTTTTCATCATGGTATAACCACGTGTCTTCAATATGAGGATGAAACATTGCAGCATATGTGTCCCTTTGATTGTAGTACTCGGCATGAAACGTGTTGCTAAATTGAGTTACGTTTGTTCACAAACTTCTTTGGTAACGAAAACGAAGTTCGTATTGCGTACATTCTGACGAGCCCATTCCAATAATTGCAATGGTTTCAATATCATGTTGCTCTGAAGATTAGCTCAAGCAGCTAAACGTTTGATCGTACTAGCCAAGCCATCACACGGGCATTTACTGTGGGCGGCGCTAAAAAAAAGTCATTCAGCTCTAACTTCAAAGTATTCTAAATGATAGCATGAATTCGCCAAATTAGATTAAATACATCTCTAGCTAGATTGAATACACCGAAATCAACTGACTACGCGCCCAGCATTCTCGGCGTTCTATCAACCAATCAGCTGAGCAGGCAACTTCGGTCTGGGAACATTAGTTCGCTGGTGGCGCCACTAGTCTTTCGCATTTTGAACTTGGGCCGTAGACCGGTGTAAAAATTTTTGTTAATTGTGCGTTAATCTCGAAACTTCATCATTTTACAAACAAATTTAAAAAAATATTCTGTATACCTTCTAAAATTTGCATAAAAAAACGATCCTTTGAAATCGCTCTTTTACGATATAATTAAAAATATGTAGAAAGAAAAAATCAGTGCATTACTTTTTCTCAATTTCAGGGTGAATTGTTACGTTTTCGTTTCTCTCGTTGTCTGTAATGATGATCCCAGTCCGAAAATTTTGTAGAATGTAGAAAAATGTGTAGAGATTGAAGTAAAAAACAACTAAACCTTTGAAAGATTGACCTGCATGAATGGTACATGATTTCGTCAGAAAAATTTCATTTTCGTAAGAAGGCCCGGTAAACCGCGATTCTAACAAAATTCGATTCTAATAAAATTGTATTCATCACACAGTCCAAAAGTATTTTCTGACGAATGTGGCTTTGTATATAATCGTCAGAAAATACTTTGTGGACCTTGTGATGAAAATAACTATTTAGGCCTCGTAGAGGGGTCAAAGTTTTTTTCATATTTTTTTCCTGAAAGCTGAGACTTTTTACGTAGGCTTGAATTTTTTCAGATTTTTCGTAACGGTCTACGGTAATTTGGAAAAATAACATTGAAAAAGAAGCTCAAAAATCGAATATGGCCTACGGGTTTCATAATAGCTCCAAAAAATCAAAAAAAAAAATCAGGACTGTTTTTTTTTACTAGTATATACTTCTAACGAAGTTTCATAGCAATCTAACATGTATGCACGGGGCAATAGTACTGTTTTCCATGCAATATCTCATATATTTGCAATCAATAGTTGTTGCTTTACGAATTCAATGGATTCTATTTAATTCAATTCGATCACAGGGAAAAGTTTTCCAAAATCAGTAACTCCGTTCTGAAAACTGAAAACTTTTTTTCTGTGTCGATTACAAAAGTGCAAGTTGAATTGCATAGTTTGTTCGGAAAAAATCGTTGAGCGAAATCAGGTCCCTCTAGATTGAAAAGTTATTAAAAATTCCTATCCGATTGTAAAACAACTTTATTTTCCTAAATAAAAATATATTATCAACACGTCAAAAAAGCTCATTTAATTTTTAATTATTTTCCTTCGTAAATTTACACTGTAACGTTTCCAGCATCATTTAGAACCGAGCAAATATTGTCATAATTAACGCGAACAAAATTATACCCCGGGTAACTGAAAAAGTATAATGTCTCTACCCCTGCAAAAGAGAAAGGAAACAGAGTTTCACACACGGAATATAAACACGAGGCATTTTCGTTTATTGTACGAGGTATATGATACGCGTGGAAGAAAGCTGAGAGGGGCACGTGCGGTGTGCGGAAATTTTGTTTCCTGAAGGAATAGTTTCGCAGCAAAATGGCATGCCCCATATTCCTATGTTGGACAACGATGAATTACCATATGAATTACAGACTATAGACCACGTTGATGCATCGTCGGTGTCATCAAACACCTGAATACGTTCTTTGTTAAAATGTGGAATGACAATAACGGTTGCACGAAGAGTGCCCCATGAATATAGTTAGAAAATCGAGGTTTTTTATCCCAATGAAAGATGAAATCTTCGAGGAAATAAAAATACACTTACTATAATTGTTTCGCGAGTACTGTCAAAGACGGAGGTTTAGTAATTTAACAAAAAAACTGTTCAGTTACAATTATCTATTCATTTCAACTTTTATTGTATTCTCGGAAATTAATAAGCCCATATCTGTTTGAACAACAATAGAAAAGAATAAATATACAGGATGTCTCAAAATGAAATGTGATCCTCGTGAGGGTAGTTCGGAGGGCGCATTGGAAGACGAAAACTCTCGTACACAAAGAGAAATATTCAATAAAAATTACGTATCTTTTCCGCAATTCCGGAGCGAAATGTGGTTGTAGGAAATTTTACGGAACTGTCACGGAATTTTTCCAGAGCGTTCGGTAGTTTTTATCTGAATCTCCTGTGAAAAATTACCATACCATCACTTAAATTTTCTGAGTCGATTCCGTAATCGGTGAGTGAGTTGTGAGTTCCGTAATTTTTACTGAATATTTCTCTCCGTGTAGCATTTTTCTCTCCGTCGGTTCAAGAGTTTAAAGTCAAGTGTTTTAAGAGTGTTTCATTTAGTTATTCTTTGTTTTCGTTTCTCGAAGGCGATATGGAGAAATATAGGAATATATTCGTTTTTCGTTTCTTTTAGAAATTAGGATATTGATTTGAGAAAATTAAGGTTCCGTAGGGGGGTTCCCCTTCTACTGGAGGTTACATAGGCCAGTGCCAGGATGGAAAAAAACATTTGGATCTCATGCAACACGTTGGATATAAACATGAACTCATTTCCGGACATGAAAATAGGTTGAGATTTAATGTTGTGTTTACATCTAAATGAAGTTCGAAATATGTATTTATGAAAAATGAAACATATGCCACCATACTCTAGGTTGAGGCGCGCGTAGCGCGGCCCGTTCGCTAGTATTTATAAAAAAAGCTATGATCAGCCGCAAAACACCCTCCCGTGAAAAATCCATATCTTCTCTGTCACTCGAGATGGAGGAATGGAAAAGATGGCAATGGATTGAGCATTCAGTGCGTAATAGATCATTATGAATTTTATTCCTCTCTTGCCAAAACGGGTGAAAAATACTGCGACAAAGTTCACCGTGATGTAAGAGCCATTTGGATTCAACACGCGATGTGACGCTGAAAATTAAGGTATATCTCAAGACAATCGAACCCAAAAGCTACTCCTTATAGATTTCCGGAAAAAATTATAAATATCTTAATTTATTGCATTCTCGTAAGTTGAGTTTTTCGACGTCATGATAGCGTCATTAAATACGGAAAATTTTTAATTGGCAATTTCCAACGGAATTCACTTTCTAATATTATTTGAAAGTACTCTTTGAAAATGTAGAGTTTTTTCTACTTTTTTTATCGCATAATCATACTTTTTGGGGACCCCAGCGCTATGTAAAACTGAATGGTAATTGGCAAATATTTTACATTATTAAAGTAAAAAAAAACATCAAGATCCAGTTTGAAAGATAATACACCCGGGCCTGAATTCCGAATAAATCCTCTATTCTAATCAAGGAAATATTTGCTGCTATTTGTTAAAAATTATTCATTCAATGTGTGTAGAAACGCAAATGAAAATCAAGTTTAAGTTATTATAAAAGCTTGTGCGTTATTCGAATAAACCCATTTATGTTACTAGGCTCGATAAACCGCAATTTTAATCTCGCTTCGCCCGACTAGACCTCGGGCCAGTAATATTATGATGTAACATTATGGTGTATTTCGATATAAGTGCGACGGATTTTTCACGAGTGTGAAATTGGAGGCCTAAGGCGACGCCGAAAGCTGCCAATCACACGAGCAGAAAAATCCCCGACGTACATGTGTCGAATTATATTTTTTGACACTGTTGCTACGTTTACCTCATTCGGCCATGCGCTGAACGTATCAGTGTCAAAAAATATTTTATGTCATTAGGCCCGATAAACTGCGATTGTAACCTCGCTTCGCTCGATTAGATCGCGGTGTTCGGGCCCAATGACATCAAATATTATTATATTATTGTATTATTATGACATAAAATATTATTATTGAATGCCACACGGCGATAAAAGTATTATCTGGCGAATGTGATTATAATCCTCGCCTTCGGTTCGGATTATAAAGCCACATTCGCGAGATAATACTTTTATCGCCTAATGACATAAGATACTAGTTCGACACATCGGCTTCGCCTCAGGCCGCGAACTTCTCACTCGTAAAATAGTATATTTCAGGGCGAGTGTCATAGGACTTTTTACTCGCGTGGAGTTGGCGTCTTGAAGACGAGGACTTGCCAACCACGCGAGTAAAAAAACCCTATGGCACTAGCCGTGAACGATATTTTTCCGTAGTGATTATGACTTTTACGAGTTTGGGGAGGGGCCAATATCAATCCCCGGACGAGGAAAACTGAAAGTCAGTACGGAAAATTCCATCTCATTCGTATCGAAACATACATTGCTCAAAAAAGTCATCAAAACAAGGTGGGCGGTATTGGGCTGACCATTTACCGTGGGCGGCGCCACTGCCGAAGCTCATGGAGACTCCGAGGTGCTACGCGGTTTTCCAATCGGAGCACCATCAGTTTTGTTTAATAAATATTTATTAAAATCAATATGCTAACATATTAATTTTGTTAATAGTACGGTTTCCTCGAGAAATATTGTAGAGGGGCAAACAGTACTAGATTCCCAATATGTTTTTTTGTGGCGCGACATGCATCACAGATAAGCAGGTTGATTTGGTGTCTTTATGTTTAAAGCCGAATGGTTTGAGTGAATTACCGCATATTTTGCAAAACCCGATTGGGTTGCAAACGTTGAAGCCAAATCTCACGTGCATCAATTATTCTCATCGGCTTGTTGGGTGAGGTTATCATCAACAAATCACGACTCGGTGGAGGCAGAGTACGGAAGCTCAATTTAGGATTATTGGTTGTATTAATATTATAACCTTTTACATGACACTTCCTCTTTGGTTTCAGAATTTTTCTGTTTGTATCAACAGACTCGCTCCATTTTTTATCTTCTGATTGTTTTGGAGCACGAACCACTACTTAAACCGGCCGCGTGTGGGGCGCCTCTGGGCCACCATTTTTTTTAGTACCTGCTCGGCCACCAGGTCGCACATTTTTTTTTAGTGAGCCTATAAGTTCCCATTCGTCAGAATAGTATATTTCGTCACCAGGCCGAAAGAAACTTTTCTGGCGAATATGAGTTTGCAGCCCGAGCCGAAGGCGAGGGCTGCAATCATATGAGCTAGAAAAGTTTTTTTTGGCCGTATGACGAACAGTATTTTTTGTTATGACGGCCGTAGGCAGAGATTCACGGACGCGGAGCGGAGCGTCCGTGAAGCGCTGCCTCACGGTCGGAATGACAAAAAATATTTTGTAGACCTATGATGAAATCTACTGTGATGTGGTCCATATGAAGCTTATTTAATTCAAATGAACCGTTTCTCTGGGTGTATTGCATTGACGAGTAGCTGCAAAAATCATTGAACGAAGGGAAATATAAAGGACGATGAAGAGAACAGGAGCTGCTGGACAAAGGCATACCCAACCGTCCATTACGGCTGTTAATTACATTTACATACCTTTAACTATAACTTCAAATCCCCTGATGAATTCCTCATTGTACCTTCACCTTCCCCAAAACATAACCCGGTAAATTGTATTTCGCATGTGACCGAATTACTTTACATCTGTTTGAGATGCATTTCACGCTGCAAATATGAAATCGACTCACAAAATTTCTCAATGTAATAGTCACAACATATGTTAACGCCTTTATCAAATAAAGGTACAATAATTGCGGTCCAAAAGAGACATTTGCGATTATTACAACGTTATTAGCAACTCGTACGTTCGTAGCAATTAATTCACGAATATTAGAGGCATTCCACCGTTGTTTTCCAACCAGAACTATCGTGTAAGAGAATAATGATAATTTGATTTGGCCCATGCGAAGTATCTCCCTCAGGGACAATACGACATTCCCATAAATCTAATTGTTCAACATTCCAGGCTACAATGCTCATTTCAATGATTCTCTCCCTAATTCCAGGAAAACCTAAACCATTGGTGACATGGTGGAAGGACGGGGAACTTCTTGATAAAGATGTTGATGTTCCTGAGATGTCCGGTACGATTGGAGTATCTAGTAAATTCACAGTCAATCATCTGTTTATTGGGAAGGTAACGAGAGCTTTGTGGGGGTCTAAGTTGGAGTGCAGGGCTCAATCGGGATCGATGTCGAGTCCTGTGGTTAGAGAAGTTCCTTTGGACATTTATCGTAAGTATTATCACATTCCAAAGCTTTTTGCCTTAATTTGACTGTTCATTATTGCGGTGGAAACATTGATAGCAGTTAATAATATTTTTCTCCTTCACTCGAAAACCTAGGATTGAAAAGAATAAACCGAAATTCTTTCGATGATAACCATTTGGTTTTACATTCATCAAAATTATGAATAGTCTAGAAGAAACTGTGAAAAGTCGGAAGAGTTTCCACCTACCGTAGTCGGAGCCTGGCCATTGTCAAGGCTCACGAAATTAAATTTTGACGATAAAGAATAAATAAATAATGTTGGGCACTAGGCAATTTTGACGACGAATTAGCGATCGTGAACTAAAGTTTACAATAATGATGGAGTGGTGAATGAAAGCTTCGGTTGGGGAGTCCCAAGTGAATCATAAAAATCGAGAATTCATGACCAGAAGAAAATGTAATTCCACCGTGTTGTATTATATAGCTCATTTCACAGAATTATTTTAATAAGATGCCAGAAAGAGTAATATAAACATAAACAATGACTTCGTAGGGCAAAAGAACGGAACGTTCTTTGTCATTACACGATTCAAATCGATTTTTCGGTTTGATTTAAGTAGATTTTTTCCTTGATTCAAGTCCAATTTCGCCTTGATTCTAGTCGATTCTCTGGTTTCATTCAAATCGATTTTTCGACCACTCCATGTATAACTCCCTAGAATCACCTTGAATCAAGTCGAAAAATCGAATGGAATTAAACTGACAAATCGACTTGAATGAAGCCGAAAAATCGACTTGAATAAAACCAAAAAATCAACTCGAATCTAGTCAAAGAATGGACTTTAATCCAGCCGACAACCGACTTGAATTAAATCGGAAAATCGACTTGAATCAAACCGAAAACCGACTTGAATCAAGTAAAAAATCGAATTGAAATAAATCGAAAAATCGACTCGAGTCAAGTCAAAGGAATTGACTTCAATCCAGCCAAAAACTGACTTCGAATCAAACCGAAAAATCGAATTGAATCAAACTAAAAAATCGACTTCAATAAAGCTGAAAAATTTAATACAATCAAGTCAAAAAATCGACTCGAATCAAGCCGAAAAACGACTTGAATCAAGCCGAAAAATCGATGTGAATCAGATCGAAAAATCGATTTCTTGCAATAATCTACTCTTATGCTTATATCAGATCCGAAATTCGGATTGTTGGAGTCGGCGTCACTCGACCTGAATCAAGCTGAAAATTGACTAGAATCGTGCCGACGTCGACTTGAATCAGTACCTTTTCTTTGGATGTGATCACAGAGCCATTTCGTAGAGTGAACTTTTTGCTTCCATCATACGACTTGTTGCTTCAGGCCCTGTATCCTCTGTACAATACCAAAGTCGATATTTCGACGCTTGCGTGATGAGATGAATCACAAGTTTCAAATTTATTCTATTTATTAGGACTGTCGACTCTTATTACTGCTTTACTTTCTTTCGATTATTTATTTGAAAATTCATAGAGCGTTGACGATCGGATAACATACTATACTGCTGCAAGAGTTGAGTTTTAGTCCAGAAACAGAAAGAAAACATGTTCATAGGATAGGAAGATTTATACAGAACTAGTTATTACGCATCAGCAAATGAGATAAAAAATTTCCGCAGTCCTTCATTTTATTCCTCTCTTTATTACATCTCACCTAGATTTGTATAACCACGCACATCCATGAAAACAAAGAAAAACTAACAAGAAAGAATGAAAAAGCTTTACATCGTCGCCCATAAGTAGTTTTTACACGGAGTAATCTCGTGAGGTTGATACGCCTGATTTTATTCTCTCGTCTGTGGCAACGCGATATCATGAAAATAAACTTTACTACAGCTTGGGAAAAAGTGTCCTTTGAAATGTTCCGTTGAAAAAGCTGTGCCCTCATTTCCCCATGTAAACACGTGCAACACTATTGTGTATTCTTCATTGAAAATACTGGCATGAAGCTGAGCTTGGTTAACTACATTCACTATATGTGATTTCCGTGTTATCAAAGAGTCGTATGAAGGATGGGTTAAGGATTTGAACAAAGAAACAACGAGGATGAGAAATAATAGTTGTGTAGATGATTCGCTATTGAACTCCGTGTACCGCAATGATACGTTAATATCCTGTTGCCAATGTAAAATGGAGAAAATGTAAAGGCAAGAGAAATATCAAAGAGGAAATTGAATCTGGCATTTTGATCTCCGCTTTGCCTTCCGACTAACAGCCTTGTCAATGCTGTACATTATTAGGATTTAATCGAAATCGATAGCATAATTTCATCAAAGTGAATATACTGTATAGTATGAATGTGAATGATTGATAACTTGTGTGTGGCCACAGAGAAGAAATGTTCTACAATTTAGAAAAACAGTTAATAGACTTTATGTCATGCGTTCGTGTAAAGTACAGGTTAACAGGGGCGTTTGGAGGTCGGTAAGTCGAATTTTACACGCACCACCAATCGTTCTTCATTTAACAGACGTTCCCAGTTTTACACGCGTCCTATGCTATTTTACTGGTATTTTACACGTTCTCAATAACCCCTAGCGACATCTTGCGGTACAAACATAACCCATTATCCCAACCATACACCGATCAGCTGATCCATTAGACACTATTTAACGAAACAAATCGCAGTGCAAAAAGCTAAAAAATAAACTACATAATAATAAATAATTAACTCAAAAAATGAAATATGAATACACAAGAAGATATGTTTAGTGAATACGATGAAATACTAACAGATAATATACTTCGAAACGCTCAGGAAGCAGAGAAATGCTATCAAGAAAAAGCCAACTTTGAAAGAAAAAAGAAAATGAGTATTTTTTCTAAATATTAGAGAATAATTTTTTTT